TTTAACAACAAATCACAAATCAGGCGTTTCCATCGAAAATTTTTTTAATAAAATTTCCGAAAATATTTTTCTTAATGAAAACCAGTCTGTCATACTTTCGCTGACTTCCTCTCGCGCTTGCGCAAGTGCAATTTCTCGTTTACGGTTTGCTTCGCAATTTTCACGGAGCATATCTCGCCACTGTTCGAAGCCAAAGCAGCCGGCCGCCGTCGACAACATGCCAAGAACGTCACAGGCCTAAATAAATGTTGTACCTAAAATTTCATCGGTGACTTTTTAACCAGTCAAGATTTACACACAATTTTTCTAAGCGAATTTCACGGTTCTTATGTATAATGCGCGTATGACCTTTTTCACCGGTAATTATTGTAATCAGCATCGGCAACAGCAGGTGTATGAGGGATTAATCATACGGGTTTTCGAGTAGTACCCAAAGCTGTACCATCTAGGAAGTAATGACGTAGCCTCTGATGATTACATATTTTTATATTTCAATCAGTTAGACGTTGCTTTATTTCGGCCTTGCTTTCGAATATTAATTATTGGCGACGCGCACGGGGCGGCCCGTACGATCATGCGTTTTTGCAGTGTTTCGTGCTGTAAGAAAATCACTCGAAATTCCACTAACTAGAAACCTCTTGTACATACTGGTCCTCGAATTTTGAAAAGTTAATTATCACGCTATACTAGGACAGGGACAAATTCCCTCGAAATGGCAGGTTCCCAGCTTTCTCAGTTCCCGAGTAACCCAAGTCGCAGCCAGAAAATTTCACGGGGTCGTACGTGGTAACCACGCATAACGGGGGACTGAGTTTGATAATTTAAGTTATAGACGAGTTGGGAACATTTCCTGAAAGTATCAGCCTCCCAGCTTCTTTGGTTCCCGAGCTAGCGATTTTCGCGTCAGGAACCCTTACTGGGCCGTACATGGGAACCATGCACCCTCGGGAACTGAATTTGCAATCTATGAGTGCTATTTGGACTGGAAACATAATCCCAAAATTTCAGCTTTCTAGCTTTTCTGGTTCCCGAGTTAGCGATTT